AAAAAAAAAAAAAATGCATTTTAGAATAGTAGATTGATAGGAAATGTGTGGTTGAAAAATAAGGAAAAGTTTTTGATTTACGTGTAATATTATTTTAATGGAGAACGCGTGATAAAAAAGGAGAGAAAAATATATTTTCGAAAAAATGGGAATCAAACAAAGCCCTAGGCAAATATCTGATTCCCTAGAATATAGATCCCAGATCCAAACCCTAGATTGGCACATTCTCTATTCTACCATGACAAGATGGCTCCAGCATGCAAACACTAATTGTAAAAAGACTTGCATGTTAAAAAGTGCTACTTAGCGCTGCCATCCAACACAGTTTAAAAACAAGGATAAACTTGAGGCAACAATGAATTTTTAACAAATGTTCAAATCTGAAGTCCTTTCTCAATTGTGCTACATGCACAACCTAGAAGGCATGTCGTCAATCACTATGGGTTTGCCAAATCATAGATTTTAATAAAGGACCTTTTTGGATAGCTTCTTGAGTAACCAGAGATGGAAGGAAACTGTACTCTAGGACGTGTCCTTGGAACAAAATGATGATTCCAGGAGCAAAACTGCCCAGAGGAAAAAATAAAATAACCACCAAATATGGAGCAAATTTGAACAAGCAATAGTCACTTGAACAAACAGTTCCTGATTCAACTGCAGATAGATCCATTTCCATTACAGTTACCTGTACTATGCACTTTTTTTTTATCATTACATGTCCTTTTCTCCAAACATTTTGTAATATCTAAGAAGTGGAAAAACAATATGCTGCTGTGATATAATGGGAATTTCTTTCTTTTCTTATTTCCATAATTTCTTGTTTTGTTGGGGGAGTTTTGTTTGTTAGCTATTTATTGTGTGATGTCAGAAATTCAGTCTTTGTTCGTAAGCATGTTGCCAAGCTGGTCCTGAAATTTAATGTGAACAATATCCTATTTGACGTCGTGTTGGTTAATCCTTGTCTTTCCAAATGTATGCTGTCATGTACAGTTTAAGCCAACATAAGAAGAAACTATCTGTGCCAAAATCAATAAGGATGCCTACCTGCTCAGTTGGAGTAATTGAAAAATCTGCAGACTCCAATAGAGCAGATTGTGTCCGTTCTGGGGTTCTCTGTTAAAACAACAGGATTAAAAACACAGTTTATAGTATTCTTACATTTGCAAAATTGTATAACAAAGTAAATTTTCATTCACCCCGTTTCTTCAAACAATGTTTAACCTAGCAACACCTTAAAGTATTCCTATAATCTAGTGTCCATTTTTCAATCAGAATATCTTCCTTGAAATGCAAAATTAAAAGATCCCATGCATCGCATCCTCCCATCTAAAATAGATTATGAAAAAAAATTCAAAAATCCATAGATAATCTAATTATTGACAGAGTAATATCTCCTGAAGCCAGCGCCAAAGATCTCTAATCCAGTAATATATAATAGAAGTGATCCACACATAATTACCTCCTCATCCAGGTTGTGATAGGAACTTTCAGGTTCAGTGGCAGCAGGCTTGATCTCTTGAGTTTCCTGATAAATTTGCGGATGTCAAACAGGATTTGACAATGAGGTAACATAGTGAAAAATGGAGAAAGTGATACAAGTCTCCTCTGATTATGACAAAGATGATAACTAATACTAATCATCATAAAGTCAAAGGTTTAAAAAATAAACAGAATCTTCCTATGCAATATTATTAAGTCAGTTAATAGGTAGAAGTTGAGCTGCTTCTCAGATACATACTAGCTCACTTTGATCAAATGATATATGCCTCTGTCCCTTTGTAAGATCCCTCAGAGTTCCCTAAAAACACAACTGAGTGATGAGAAAAGAGAATGGAGTAACAAAAAGTAAATACTAAAAGGTGCTACCGTCGAAATTGCAAACATCTCTTTGCTATTGGTTCCAGAACTCTTTGGACTAGATGTTCAAAAAATAGATGGCTTTCATCTCAAACTAAAAATAATAATCAAAGTGGATAAAGGGAGCTTATATTAGACGAATCAACCATACCTTGTTTGCCCACATCAGTCCACAAGCATTGCATAAAGTTCTCGGACCTGCTGGCCCCCGACGCATTGCTGGAGTAGAAATTTCACTAACCCCACAATGTAGACATCTACGTAACCTATTAAAAGAATGGGAAATCAGAGGTCCATACAAAAGAATGAGTAAGAGAAGGTCACGATAGAACACTTAAATATTCAGGGGCTTCGTATTTTCCGAAATGTTTCTGATTCCAGAAATTTGAAAGAAGAGTGCTGCAGGTGTCAATCAGAATTTGTTGGGGGTGTGTTTTTAATTATATTATCAATCAATATTCTAGAACCATGCAACATTTCCATATCCTCATAGACAATTGTTGTGCATGTGGCTCATATAGAGTGAAACACACGTCTTGGATCAAATGGATCGATGCCGGTATGGTACAAGGTTTTTTCTTGTACGGGTCTTAAAATCTTATATGGGCCCAGGCTAGGGTTAGTGGTACGGTACAAGGCTTTTTCGTGTACGGGCCTTAAAATCTTATATGGGCCCAGACTAGGGTTAGTATAAATAATATGTTGTAACCCTACTTTTCACAATTGAATAAAAGATATCTCCACTTCGCTCTCGTGGACGTAGGCACACCGTCGAACCACGTAAATTCTTGTTTTGATCTTTTTTCATCTCCTTAGTATTGCGCATAAAATCCAACAACAACAAAATTAGGCAGCAGAGCAACCATGGAGATAACTAATGTACCTAAGTGTTTTCAAGAAGAAGATGCAGAAACTTGTTGCTAAGTAGATATATGTCACATTTGATTGCCCAACAGATGATACAGACCAATATATAATGGTAACAGCTGCCAAACAGATTT